ACGCGAGAGGAGATTAGCATAATTACCACCCCAAAAACACCATTTAAGATCGTTTAAGCCTCAAATACAAGGAAGTGTGTGTTCATTCATTCATGAAAATTACAGCGAAAACTGAAAAAATAAAAACTTTACGCGTTCAGAGATTGAAGTCCGTCTGTCAGAGATCAAGAAAAGAAAATCTGACATGTTTAGCAGCTCAGCTGTGGGATAAGAAGAGCTGCTAAAAGTATAAACAACTGTGTTAAATCATTTTCATTTATTCAGAAGCCGCAGCGCTGCGTACCGTACCGAACCCCTGTTCTAACACACCATTAGAGTCGCCTCACCTTCTCCATCTCCTGCTTGAAAGTGGTGAAGACCTCGTTGCTCTTGGACAAGGTGGTCTGAAACTCCTCAAACTTCTCTGTGTACAGCGACAGCTAAAAGAACCAGCGGAGCAGGAGTTAGGTTATGGAAGCACAGCTCAACGTGTGGACGTGAGGTTTTGAAGTCATGAAACCTGCTGTTTGAGGTGAACTTCCTGCTGCTTCATGAGCTCACACATCCTCTGAGACTCCACGGCTTCTTTCAGCAGCTGAAAACAAAAAACACGTCAGGTGAAAGTCTGGAACCTGCATCGTGTCTGTGAGGCTGCGTGTGTCGGACTCACAAACTCTTTTTCTCTGTTGTGGCCTTCCTCTGACTCTTTCAGCAGCTCCTGCGCCTGGTGCAGCTTTGCGTCCACCAGCTGCTGCTGCAGGTCTTTGTGCTTCACCACTTTGTCTATGTGCTGGAGAGGCGAGCAGAGTCAGAGAATCCACCTGATGAAGAAGATGGAAAATCTAAAATCTAAACTCTCACCTCCTCCCGCAGTTTGTACTGCTCATACAGCGTCTTCAGCTTCTCGCCCAGCTCGGCGTTTTCCTGTCGGAGGCTGGCGTTCCTTTTGTTGTGCTGCTCCATTTGAGCCTGGATGTCGTTCAGAGTCGACTGGAAGTGAGACGTCACTTCCTTCCGTTTCTCCTCCTCCAGACGGGTTCTTTGTATTCCCTCCTCCTGCAGAGACAAGAACTTTTAGAAACAGGACAACGATAGCTGTTAGCCACGTTTAGCTCCTGGACGCTGTCGTACCTTCAGGGTTCTGTTGTGTCTCTGCAGCTCGCGGCAGAGGCTCTCCAGCTTGCTGCGGGCCAGGATGGCCTTGCTGTGTTCGTTCCTCAGGTTGTCCTTCTCTTGGACCAATTGAGTCTGCTTCTTCTGCAGCGCCCTCATCTGCTTCTGAGTGTTCCGGTGCTCCTCCAACTGAGCAGGGAGAAACATGGTTAGTTTTCTAAAAATAAAACAAAACAAAAAACAAAAACAAGCCTTTTAGTCCTTTAAAAGGATCCACGATTAGTTGTAACTGACTTTATTTAATAAACATATATTTTAATTGTAAAATAAAGACTGTAAAAATACTGTAGGATGTTCAGTTTTTATCATTTTTAAATTAAAAATTTAAAAATATATCACACGGATGGGGCCATTTTATTTACACGCAAAGCATTCTGGATAAATGATAACGTGGATAGGTCCTTGGTGTGAGGCTGCTGGCGAGCTACAGTTAGGTCCATATATATTTGGACAGAGACAACATTTTTCTAATTTTGGTTCTAGACATTACTACAATGAATTTTAAACAAAACAGTTCAGTTGCAGATGAAGTTCAGACTTTCAGCTTTAATTCAGTGGGTTGAACAAAATGATTGCATAAAAATGTGAGGAACTAAAGCATCTTTTAAACACAATCCCTTCATTTCAGAGGCTCTAAAGTAATTGGACAGATTCTAGAAGCACTCGGACAGTGCAAATCTCCACCAAGACCAATTTCCCCCATCCTATAAT